AATAAGAAGCAGGCATGTCTTACATGTCTAGAACAGAAGGAAGAGAAAAAAGGGGAAGGTACTACACACTTTTAAACAACCAGATCTTGTGAGAACTCATTCACTATCACAAGAAAAGCAAAAGGGAAATCTACCCCCATGGTCTAATCACCTCCCAGGCCCCACCTCCAACACTGGGAATTACAATTTGACATGAGATTTGGGCAGGGACACAGACCCAAACCTTATCATCAATGAATTCGGAATACCAATACAGAATGGTTTTCATTGAAAATCAGTTTATAAATAAATGGTGCAAGGAATTCTAGAGTAATGTATTAGCCATGGGTAGCGGAAGTACTTAAAACAATTTTTAAAAACTGAGGGGCTAAAAGTTGGTATGAGAAAAACACTATATATCATTTCCTAAAGTTGTTCTGTTTTGTTTAAATATGGTTTAAAATGGTGTTGAGGGAAAAGACATGTCCCCTTAGGGATTGTCAGAAAGAATCAAAAGCAGCTTAGCAAGGAGACAGAAATGTAAATGTGATATTTATCAGGGGAAATGAGGGTATGATTAGATAAAATGGAACCAGCCTTCATGTCAGAAAATACCTTAATGAGGAAGCCATATTTGAGGCCTTTGTGTCGTCTTCTGAAAGACTAACAACCTGGACTGATCAGGAATGGCCTTCACCAGCACTATGATAGGAAGAGTAGGTTGAGTTTATTTCTCAGGTCAGGTTCAACCTGAAAGCCCAGCTGAATTAAAGTCTTCACTAAATTCATGAAAGGATACAAGAGTCACAGCCTGGCCTTTTTTAACATTGCTCTCCTGGAATTGAATGGAAAGTCAGCTTCTAGTTCTGTGGAAGGCAGGTCCCAGGGGAGGTGAGCAACTTCTAATTCCACAGCTCCTGCTTGCCCTTTTGAGAGCTCCAGCTCATCCAGCAGGTCTTGCCTGTTTCACATCTTTGGAATTAAAATACTCTGTAGCCTTCATCTCCTCCCCTCAAACATGGATTAAATAAATACAAACTTTATGTTAAAAATGTATTAGAAAGGTTGTCTGTTTTATTGGAAAGCATCCTCAGATTCTAAGGTGTGCACAGATCACTTGGGGGTCTTATTCAAATGCAGACTTTGAGTCAGTGGGTTTGGAGTAGAGTCTGAGAGTCTACATTTCCAGTAAGCTCCCCAGGGCAGGGGAGCAGGGACTGGTGTTACTGGTTCAGGGGTCATATTTTGAGAAGTGAGGATCTAAAAGACATGATTTCAAGTTCTGGCTTCTGACAATCTCAATTTTCTCACTTGTAAAACGAGGGGCTTTGGATGAAGATATGTTTTAAGTCTGCCCTTCTGCAGCATCTCAAGGCGCAGAGAGCAGAGAAGGCTGGCGATTGTCCAGAGCTTGATCTCTGCTCTGAGTTTTCAAGGACTCCCCGTTATAACACTGTGAAGGTAGAGAGGAAAAGTGAATGCAAACAGGGAAGGAAGTACAGTTTGTGTCTGACAATCCCAGAGTGGTTACAATTATTCACCTGATGCCTTTGCCAACATTTAAAGCTTTGTCTGGCTTTAATTAGATCACACGATCCACAAATGAATGTTCTAATTGTGCTGTGTTTGTCTCCAATAAGCTGTTGGATAGGATTAATTCTTTCCACAGAATGCCCAACGGAACAGTTCACTTTTCAATACAAATTAAGCGTAGTCACAAAAGATTACTACCTTTAGATCTTAAAAATATTGTTAAACAGTGCAAGTGAAGACACAGTTTGATATGACATTTTTTATACTAACCGTGTCAGTCATGGAGGAATTTAATACCATCTTGAAATATTTCTTATCCTTCAGATTCCCCTCTGTTGTTCTCTTGTTAGTGAAATCTTCCCAGAGGCCACGTGAGAATTAGTGGCCACCTCCTGCCCCTCTGCTCCCATTTACACTGCTGTTGGGGTGCACACCACATGGTTAGGCTTGGGCTCATTTAGTTTTGTATCCGTTTGTGTCCTCTGAATTACGAGCTCCTTAAGCCATCCTGACAGAGTAGGAAGAAAATTTGGATGACTTGGAGCACAGGTACATGAGTTTACACTTCTGCATTGTTTTGTTCTGATCCTATGATCCCAGGAGGCCATGGATGTTTCACTGCCTTCGTTTTTGATAAGCCACTTTCCCCAGACCGTAAATCCCGTACTCTCAGGGGTCTGAAAGTCCAAATGCCTTCAGGGAAAGGGTGGTAGGAGGAATGCAGAAAGCAGTGGATGGTGAGAGTCTAGGGCGCAGTAGGAATCTTGGTTAACCTGCCTTGCCCCGAGATCTCAGACGCACTTTCTTTAAACACAGCAGGGTTGCGCTCAAGCAGAAATTAACACCCAACTAAAGACCTTGCTTCACATCACCTGGTTTCCGGTTTGCACATAGCAGGGGTTCCCAAGTTGAGCTTAGCGGGAAGAACAATGGCAATATTCAATATAATTAATAACAAGGATAGCCAGGGAATCAAAATAACATGTTTATAGCTCTAAGTATTACCCTGTAGCATCAGGTTTTAACCCCTTAGTTGCTGGATCAAGGGAAAGTCCAGGACTTCCCAGTGGAAGGGCCAGGGCAGTTGAGCCTGGTGAAATAGAATATCAGTCCTGAGAAAGACCCCCAGGCTTTAGTCAGAGAAACATCTTTTCACAACCCTGGCTAGCCACTTACTCTCCGTGAGATCAAGTTGAATAATCTGTCTGAGCCTTAGTTTTCTCATCTGTAAAATGGCTTAATAATACTCACTTTGTGGGACTGTGGTGAGGACTAAGTGAACCAACATATGGAATGTTCCTGAAAGGCCTGGCACAAGCAGATGCTCACTCAGTGAAAGTAGTACCAGGCACTGTTGTTTACTATTATCATTAAAAGATAATAAGTGGTTATTGATTGAATGCAGACAGCTTGTCTCTCTGTTACTCATGCTTTCCGTAGTCAGATAATTCAGGTGGACCACAAGAGATCTTGGTTTACTATTGCCATCAAGGTGGCTTACCCCAGGGCTCAGGGGCTGGGTGCGGGCAGTTCTGAAGGACATAAGGAGAAAGGGATGGGGGAGGCTTTGTTCCCTGGGCTGGAGCTATATGAAAGACTCCCAAGTCTTTAGATCACAGCATCCACAGGCCACTCCTGATCTATAAAAGCTCACTTTCTGATTTGTAGGCATTTTAAAATACACAGATATTCTTATAAAGTTTCTTAGCTAGTGGTTATCTTCTGAGAGGCATGAGTGGCAAACTTGAGCCTCTTATGCTATAAATAAGAGATCTGCTACATAGGCATTTCCCTGGGTCAATCCCTCTGCTTTTGGAATCCCTCGCACTGCACTGATACATTCTCTAAATTGTCTCCAGGACACACACTGGGTCTCATGATATGAGGAATCTCTATTGAGAAGGATGATCTGTCTATAGTCAGCACCACAGTACAGAGAAAAATATACCCTCCCCACGCAGGCAAAGGTTGACCACCCCATTCTCTTTAGTAACCCAGTCTAAATAAAGGCAGCTTTTATTTTGTCTTATTTTACAATTGCTCTCAACATTCACCATTCACTGTAGCTGAGTGTACTCAGCTATCTGCAAAACAGCATCCTTGCATTATTGATGTGAGGGTCATGAGAGCTTGCCAAGTGTTTTTTTTCCATATTGCTTCTTTAACTGTGTGTTTACCAAACTAATTTGAGGGTACATGTTCAAATAGGATAGTTCCCAAACTAATCTAAAGCAATAAATAAACTAATTTTTTTTTACATTTTTGCTTAAATGCTACGGAGTATCTTGAATGTGCCTTTTAAAATGATTCTTGGGTGAAGCATCAGAAAAAGTAGAAATGGATAAAAGATAAAGTAGCAGTTTTTTTAGTGCCACATCCAGATATAACAAACCTTCATGTGTCATTTATGCCATCTTTCCTAGACATTTTTCACCCTTGTAGAAACCCTCTTGAACTAACATTTGCCACGTGGAATATTATTTCATCCTGAGAAAGATTTCGGACAGGGCCTGTGGCAAGTCTGGTTTTCTATTTTTTTGTTGTTGTTGTTTTGTTTTTCTTTTTACTCTTTTCTTTTTTTCTTTTTTCCTCAGATACAATATGACCACATGGTTTATTCAGGTGAAGAAATTCTTAATCATCATTGGCAAAAGTCTGTTTTTTTAGAAGAAAGTAAATTAGAAAATTCAAGTACATACTCACAATAACGCCAAGAGGAACATCTATCCAACTCTGGATTTTCCATTTGTTTCCCTTAGTGATCAAAGCCAACCATGATAAGTTTAATATTTCCCATCACACTAAAGCTCTTTTCCTTCTCTTTAACCTCCTGACTCCAAAAAAGAGTCTTCTCTTATGGGCAGAGTTAGAAACTATTTTAAAATTAACTCATATAATCTCTAAACTCACCTTTTCTAACTCCCATAAAAGCAAGGGCTTCTAGGATGGACCACAGAGAAAGAACCCATGGAATCCTCTAGAGGGGTCTTGAGAGTCTGTCATTGGCCCAGGTCATTGGCTACAGGCAGAGATTTGAAGCAGTCTGGAGGATCCACTGTGGCCTGGAAGCCCTTGACTTGGTCTCCCATCTTGGCCCTGCCATAGTGCTAGGCTGGGCATTTGGACAAAAGGTAACTTAACTGTGGGTCACATGCAAGGATGATTCTGTATGGTGAGTTCTTATGCCTGCCTGCTCTGTACGCATCCCCACAAAAACGGGCTGAACATGACCATTTGGTCTTTTTGTGCATGCGATGGTAAAGGAAATGACTTCTCATCAGCTCATGCAATTGGTCATGGCTGACGGTAGTCCACAGAGCTTACTTTTCAACTTGAAAACTGATTACTATGTCCTGAAGATTATATTTTTAAAGGAAATTTTCCCCGTGCAAAATGCTGGAATGTATTTTGTTCCTTGTTCACTTGCTGTTACATGTGTCATTGACTCCCAATCTCTGATGTGTTTCTCTGTTTTCTGTGTGTTGCAGGCAGCATAGTGTACCTCGGGATGATGGTGGGGGCGTTCTTCTGGGGAGGACTGGCAGACAAAGTGGGAAGGAAACAGTCTCTTCTGATTTGCATGTCTGTCAACGGATTCTTTGCCTTCCTTTCTTCATTTGTCCAAGGTTATGGCTTCTTTCTCTTCTGTCGCTTACTTTCTGGATTCGGGTAAGGTTTTCTCCTTCATATTTTATAGTAATGTGTTTATTCTTCATAATTGAACACATTCTCCACTCTAGAGAACCTTATTAGGAGGAAATTATCCCTTCACACATCTCCCTCCACATCCTCATGTCAGCCCTGGAAGCCACAATGCTGGTTCTTAGAAATGTAATTATCAACCTTTAAATACAGGAGCGAAGGGAACACACACCTATGTTTTCATAGCTGATTATTACTTCTAGAAGATGGGTATTGTTTTAAATGGAATGCCATTTCTATGGTAGAACACATTCATACATATATGCTGCTTCTGAAAATTTAACGTAAGTAGGAAATAGCTCTTGTCCTACCTGTTATGAGCTAATTAAAGGTTTGAACCGTTCAAGCATGCTCTTAAATTCAGGATTAGAGTGTCTCAAATAAATGCTGTTTTATTGATCTATGTTAACTTGGCATATTTAACTTAGTAGAAAGCCTCCTTGAGACATAATTTTTAGTTAGTTCCTGACTTCTGTCGAATTAACAGAAGTTGCACTATTACCCAAATGCAGTGGCATAGTATAGCTGATGGTGAAGTCATTTTCTTTAAAGAGCTTAAAGCACTTATTACTATACTGAATGAATTCATAAGCACAGAAAAACCTAATAGTTCAATAAGGAATATATGAGAAACTTTGCTTCAATAAGAAAGAAAATAGTAAAAATATAAAATTTTTGTAATGAATGGGTACTAGACTTAATGCCTGGGTGACAAAATAATCTGTATAACAAACCCCCACGACACAAGTTTACCTCTATAACAAACTTGCACATGTATCCCTGAACTTAAAAGTTAAAATATATATATATATATACACACACACATACACACACACACATATATATGTATAATTTTGATTCATAATTGAGAACTTAGAGACTTTTTTCAAGATACCTAACACAATGAATCTGTAGAAATAATATACAAATTTAAAAACTAAATGAAGAAAGTGAGGGCAATGGGGCTGGGTTATAAACTTTAAACAACCGTTGTGGTTGTTGATTATACACACCACAACCTACAAAGCAGAATACAGTTTTGTGAAAAGAGGTCAGAGGACTATAGCATGTCTTTCTTAATTATGTATAGTAGCATTTCCCATAGCTCCTCATATGCTACATTCTGCACGCAGTGAGCACTTAGCAAATACTTGAGTAACTTGCACACATTTTAGGAGCTTTCCTTAGAGTGAAGACAGTGCATTTCAGTAAACCAAGATGGCTGGAGAGTTTGGGAAAGTGTAAAATATTTTGTTCCTGGGGGAAAAAAAATGTTCGGAATCAGTCATTTGCTTTGTAGCAATGGAGAAAGGGGAGAGGAGGCTTTTTCTCCACAGGGGAGCCCCTTGGTGCTCAGTTTCTGAGATTGGCTACATACGCTGCTAACTTGGAGATGGATTTTGGATCATGGACTCACAGGGTTTCAGCAGACCTAAATGTTGAATGATTGAATGACTGAATGAAATGAATGAATGAAGAACAGATGTTATTTGGGGCTGTTTGTTAAAGGACCTTCTCAGTGAGTAGGTCCATAGGATAAGACATTCTTGCCACCAGGAAGGGCCAAGCTTCCTTCTCCCTTTTGTTATCTATGTAATACCACTAGCCTGTCAAGAGAAAACTAACAGCATAGGTGCTGAATTTTCCAGTCCTTTCAGTTTGCAATCTTTTTTGGGAAATTTAAGCAATATCCAAAGACCCAAAAGTACATGACTGTGGTCAAATTATTGTGGCAATTTTAATTGCCAATCTGGATTGTGACATGGTCATCCCAACAGGCTGTAGAGAAAAAGGTCCATTGTGGTGGCTGCAAAATACTCCAAACCAATGGACTGTCCAGAAGCAAATTCAAGGGCAACATAAAAGCAGAGACAACTTAGATGTATTCTTGATATCATCCTCATTCCTGTTGCAGACAAATCATTTTTCAACCAGCAGGTCAGGACTGCTGGAGGCTGGGAATCAAGAAATCCAGGTGTGCCCTGCTCCTGCCCTTTATCATGGAGTCTTAGGAAAGTCATGCAGGCTCTCTTGACTGCTTTTTCTTTTGTAAAAGAAGACATTAGGACTTTGCATTCTTACCTTGGAGTGTGAAGATCAAATGAGATGATGTATTGAAAGTACAAGGTAGAGAAGATAATGTAGGATAACGTTTAGAAACACTCACTCATAGTTTGGCATTTCTTATCTCCTTTATTCCTCCTCCCATACATTTAGCTAAGCTGTACTATGCTGATTGCCTCAGTGTGACAGCAGGGGAGGAGGCAGAAAGAGACCCCTTTCTGGCTTTTAAATTTCAAGTCTGGCCCATGCAAGAAACAGAAAGGCCTAATCAGGGACAAAATATTTGGGAGAAAACATGGCAAGTAAAATCAAGCATAAATCAAGTTAATCTCTATAATAAACGGTGAGTACCTAGTCTGCGGGCAGTACTGAGGGGGAAGTCATATGAACTTAGTTACCTTAGTCCAGGTGGCAAAACCTCTGCAGAGTTTTGTGGGATACAGCAACTGAGAGGACCTGAGAAATGAAGTTATTAAGGAAAATGAGGGAAGAAATCTGTATTGGTCAGCATTCTCCAAAGAGACAGAACCAATGGGAAAGAATGGATAGATTAGATGGATGGATGGATGGATGGATAGATAGAGAGATAGATAGATAGATAGATAGATAGATAGATAGATAGATAGATAGATAGATAGATATGAGAGAGGACTAATTAAGGCAATGACTCACACAATTATGGAGGCTGAGGAGTCCCATGGCAGGCCTTCTGCAAGCTGGAAATTCTAGGATGCCAGTAGCATGGCTCAGTACAAGTTTGAAGGCCTCAGAACCAGGGAAGCTGGTAATATAGCTCTCATTCCAAGGCTGAAGGCCTGATAACTCAGGGGGCTGCTAGTGCAAGTCCCAGAGTCCAAAGGCCAGAGAACCTGGACATCTATTGTCCCAGGACAGGAGAGGAAGGATGTTCCAGCTCCGAGAGAGAGAGCAAATCAGAATTTCCTCTACCTTTTTGTTCTCTCCAGGTTCACAACTGATGGGATGGTACCCACCCATACTGAGGGCAGAACTTCCCCACTCAGTTTACCAATTTGCATGCCAATCTCCTCCAGAAACACCCTCACAGACACACCCAGAAATAATGCTTTACTAGCTGCTATAGTTTGGATGTCTGACCTTTCCAAATCTCATGTTGAAATTTGATCCCCAGTGTTGAAAGTGGGGCCTGATGGGAGGTTTTTAGGTCATGGAGGTGAATCTATCATGATTAGATTAATGTGAGTGAGTTATTGCTCTATTAGTTCCCACGAGAGTTGGTTGTTTAAAAATAAGCCTGGCACCCCCAGCCCTCTCTTTTGCTCCCTCTCTCGCCATGTGATCTCTGCACATGCCAGCTCCCCTTTGCACTCTCCCCTGAGTGGAAGCATCCTGAGGCCCTCACCAGATGCCCAGTCTTCCAGCCAACAGAACCATAGCCAAATAAACCCCTTTTCTTTATAAATTGCCCCACCTCAGGTATTCCTTTATAGCAACAAAAATGGACTAAGGACACCAGCTGTCTAGGTATCTGTGAATCCAGTCAAGTTAACACGTAAAATTGACCATTGCAATATTTTTCTTCTTCACCAAAGTTTATGGGCTATTTTACTTTTGTTTGCTTTGTGAAGTGCTACCTTCATGGCCCAGGGTTTTTCTCAACAGCTCTAGGGTTTATCTGGGTACTCTGTTTCTGAGTCTCTGAGGAATCTCATCAAAGTCTCTTTTTCTCCAATTCCATTCCAATTCAACTCAAAAAACATTGCAACACCTACTCTACCCACTGGAAGCATGCAAGATTTTTCATGGATATAGCTGAGCCCTCATCTCAAGTTGCTTACAGTCTGTACAGACAGGCAGCTCTTCTAGTCCCCATCTTCCAAGAATTAGAGCCTGAAAAGAGGTCACAAGGGGCTTGGGAATCTCACAGAGGAAGGAGAAAACAATAATCACATTGTGAATAAGAAAATTTCCATTTAAATGCTCTTCTTGTTTTCAAAGGCGTGTCATATTTAAACCCTTCATTCCCATTACTTATTAACTCAGTACAGAAGCAGCTGAATTTTTATATATTCTCATTTTATTTAAACTTTCTTTATTAAAACTTAAGCCAGAGAATCAAGATTCTCATCCTAGAGACCTTAAATGAAAGACCATGTTGTATCGACTTAAACAACTCCCTCCAACCGTATCTGATCCAGTTTTTAAATTGAGAAAAACTAAATGAAAAAACATTCCAAAATGTTGGTAATGTTTCCTTTGTGGGCCTCTGGTGCACAGAGCCCCCCACACTCCACGCATTTCCTAGGAGTACAGTACTTGCCATCCTTTCTGCTTTGAAGCTTCTTCTCCCAGGACTCTCCCACTCACAGCTTCCCAGAGGCGTTTCCTGAGACCACACACCCAATGGGTCTCAGACAGTTTCCTGTTTTGTCTCCTTGGCAGTACTTACAATTGATGCCTGAAAATATTTACTTTTTATGTTCTTCTTTCTCTCCTCCACCATCATGTAAATTCCAAAGGGCTGGGACTGTCATCTTGCTCAACATTGCTTAATTGCCCATGGCAGGGTGGGTGGGAGTGGGTGTTGTAAAAGACAGTGGAGTTCAAGCAGCAACCAGCATAGTCTGACTTGCAGCCATCTGTGGCATTGGCTAGTTAATCATGAAGTGAAATAGATAGGAAGTCTACTCAATTCTTACTTGATCTGTATAAGTAGAAAACTTCTATGACAAGTGAATGAAAACCTAACTTGCATCATAAAAACAGAGTCATGTCCCCTCCATCATTCCCAGACTGGAGCTGGATTACAGACCCAGAACCAACTGAATGAAGGGGAGGCTGGTCCTCCTTGAAGAAGGATCTTGGTACACGGCTAAGTATTTATACTGTTAATCTTTCTCCCAGCTTCCCCAAAGGGACTGAAG